AGCAATGAACCTTAAACTAAAAAAGTGATCCATAAAAAATCAAGTTTGCACACTTAAAAATATAGGCATGATTCATAAATTAGACGTATATTATTCATGTTTAGGACACTATTTTTTTAAATTTTGATCCATAAACCTTGAAAAATTGCTCCACTGCTTATCTACTTAGATTTACTGTCCTACCCGTGTATTTAAGGTAGATGTGCGAAGCGACGGGCAAGCGTCTAGAATTACCTTTCAAAAGAAGATTCTATAATAATATTCTTAAGACGTTTCCTATGGAAGCTTCATTTAGAAACCTTTTAAGAAGCTTATTCTAGACGCTCGCCCATCGTTCTGCTCTTCTGACAAAAAAAAACACGGGCAGAACAGTAAATCTGAGTAGCTACGCAGTTATGTAGCAATTTTCCAAGGTTTATTTTGATCAAATTAAAAAACATATGTATATAGACCGAGATATAGACTATAATTGGGACACACCCAAATAAGCACGTCTACCAACAACTGGAACACCTACCCTAGGTATGATCCATAAAATTAACATTTTTTTTTTCATTTTTTCTTAAGAAGATTATTATAGAAGCTTCTTTTGGAAGCTAATTCTAGACGCTTGACCATCGCTCCGCACATCTACCTAAAAACACGGCAGGACAGTAAATCTAAGTAGTTAAGTAGTAATGGAGCAATTTTTCATGGTTTATGGATCAAAATTAATAAAACAGTGTCCAAAACGTGAATAATATACGTCTAATTTATGGATCATGGCTGTTCGGAATATCGGGGTGACCCTGTACCGCCAAGCCCAGTGACAACCCTGTGGGGGATTCAGAGAGCTACGGTAACGGTCGCTGTCAGAAATGACAGACATCAGGTTTGGTTCAACGGAACTGTGAACTCACAGTTCCGTTGAACCAAACCTTAGATAGGTCGGAGTATGAACGAGAAAAAAAGAGGAAAACAAGATACAATTCCAAACCATCAAAAAAACGTCCCAAGCAAATCGATTAACGTACCCCATTCTAGTCAAAATTCTAGTACTACACAATGTTTGTTTTGATTCGCTATGAAAGTTTGACAGGTAAAATGAGGGGTTCGTGGATTTTCTCTTGTTTTTTAGGGGTGCATCGATAAGCTTGGGACCGAAGATAGTACCAGAGCTGAGCCAAAAAGTTGAGTACATTTCTTCGGGACCTTCTGGTCTTAAAGTTATGTACCTGTATGTAGCTACTGAAGTAGGTTAGTTGGAGGTGGAATTCGTGCAAATATTGAATTTAATAACCCTATATTTGCTTAAACTAGATATTACAATTTGATCCTAAAATCTGGTAACCTACAATTTGTTCCTAAACGCTATATACATAATTTACCCTAAGTAACTAGTAAGTAGCTCATTCTACATCGTTTGCGTGCTTAACTAAAATAATAATTGAATCCCTAAATGCTAAATCTAGCCAAATCTTTGTTGAAAGAGTGACGGAAGATAACTCTCGGTTTGAAAATCTCCCGTTCAGCCTCCTATCGCTTTTCATGGAGGAATTTCTCTTCCTCCAGCGCTTTCTTATTTGCGCTTTTCTCCTGCAGCAACTGGTCTAGGGATTCTTCCAGGCTGACCTCATTGGTACTTCCTTTTCCAGATTCGGTTGCGGCATCACTCCTCACTCTATTATTTCTGCTAGATGGTTTCTTTGGGACAGACTTCTTGGTTCCTTTTGCCACCTTATAAGCATTAAGATTGGTTTTGATTTTATATTAGTTTAATAAAACCTATTTCAGCTTCAAGCTGTCCAAAACGAGACTGCTCTGAGGAAGTTGCTTTCATTAATACGAACATGGCTATATTTTTAAGTGCGCAAACATGATTTTCTATGGATCACTTTCTTTAGTTTAAGGTTCACTGCTGAATGTATTATGGATCAATTGCAATATGTTTATGGGTAATTCGTACAATTTCAATGCTCATTCCTTAGAAATTTAGCGGTACATTTTTACAATTGTGTTGCTAAATTTTACATTAAATATGGATCATATTGATATTTTTTATGGATCATTCACACTTTTTTAAGGATTTTCTCCGAAGTTTTATGGATCATTTGGATGTTTTTTATGGAACGTTTTCCAATATTGTATGGATCATTTATTGGTTTTTATGTTCAAAAGTATGTTTGCCATTCCTGGACCGGACCGGGAAACGAACTCAGCCACTTGCATCATGGCCTTCTCAAGTAACATCGTTCATAAAAAGAAAAAGAAATCCCATTTTTTTCCTTGATTTATTTTCCGTCGATCTTGTTTTCCGTGCTGAGCACCAATGCTACCGACACCCGGGAGGCAGCTCTCGCACCTGGACTCTACCTATCGACCCATCAACTCATGAACCGGGCACCAACGGCTTTACTTTCCTTCCGAAGGAAGGCGTGATCAGACATGTTATACCTCAGAAAATCCCGGCGGCGCCGACTGGGATTGAACCCAGGCCTGCTGGGGTGAGAGGTAATAACAAATCCCAGTTTTAAATAAGCTATGTATTAATTGCTTTGAAAACATGTTGTTTTTAACCCGTTGTACTATTATTTGTGAAGTATTCAACCTTTCTTACAGAAATCAAACTGCAATGAAAATTTACCTTTAACCTTCCTTGTATCCTAGTACCCGGCGTCACTTTAAAAAAAGCTGTAAGTTTGCAACGAAATATGATAGAGACCTAAAATTTCCTCACCTTTCCTAACATTCTAAAACAAACATTTTGCTGCCAAAAGAAGCTTTCAGCGACCTCTAGAAGTGGCACTAAAAAAAAAGTGACACATTTTGCATTAGAGTCTAAAACGACCCAGACTGCAACTCGGTCCCAAAAATCCATTTGTTGACCGATTCTTGATATATTGGCAATTTCAAAACCTCATGTACTGCACAGCAAAAAAAAATAATTTTAATATCACATCAAAGTGGCTGCACTTCAATCGGGTAAAAAATGCACAAAATGCTCTCCAGAGTTTTAATCTTGTAACCAAACCAAGGAAGCAGGAGTGCAAGTGATTTTGATCGATTCTCTTCATCAACTTTCATTGGAGGCGAACCAGCCTCAGCCTAAATAAAGATAAATCAATCAATCAATCATCAACTTTCACTTTGAAAAAAATTACTACAAATTTAGTACGCCTACAATTAAAAAATGAGAAGAGTCAAGATAATAGATGATCGATCAATTAAAAGAACTACATGCTTTTCACATTTGTTCCGTCCACTAGCGGTCCTACGTCAAGCTTCCGTTCGTGTCCCTAGGCACAGACCCTTCTACTTTTTTCAACGAGTTCAGTATTTTTTATTAAAAACATAATGTTTATTCTTCAAAAAAACGTAAATGAATATTGGAGAAGGGGCCTTGGTCAGCCGTACGACGCAACTTAGTCACGATGCTCTCACAAGAGCGCTGGACGGCACTGAAATCATTCTCATTTTTTATTGAACACCCGTTATTGTTTAATGCGTAAGGAAGCATGTATAAATGACGTAGCATTTCAGGGGAGTTTCAGAAGTTCTGACCAGCCATGTATTATAGGTGTGGATTATTCATAATTAGTGCTGATATTCACGAGGGAAAGTGGGGGAAAAATTGTTTCTAAACGTTTTATCATCATTATATATAAATTTAAACAAAATTTAGCTCACAGGCCCTTCAATCAATGCATATTTTATCTTTAAAGTTGTCTACTTTTATAGAATATTGTTTATGTTGCCCTTTATGATTGTTATTCATTCACTTCATATTTTTTAAAGCAGATATCAGGGAATCTGTGGTGGTTCAAATCATGAAAATAGAGCATCATGTGTGCTGTAGTTGAATATTTTGTGGAAGCTGATATTTATGCAATAGAAATATCGAAGTGTTAATGGGCTAACATTGAAGCATGTAGACAGTGTGAGGTTGGCGAATGTCCGTAACGCTCCAAACAATTTTTGTTTACGCTCAATTCGGTGTTTACGAGGTTTGCATTTCCTCGATTTTGTTCCAATGAGTACACAAAATCCAATATCACCATATTTTTCTATGATTTTTTTTCTGCTTTTTGAAGCAAGTTGCACTTAATTTTGTTGAAATTTGAAATTATTCGAATCAAAATAGAAACGAAAAAATAGCCCACCATATTTCACGGACACACTGACATATACTTATGATATTTAACCATAGGAGTAAAGAGTTACAGAGTCACAGTCTTCGCCAATAAGGCTTTGATAGAGCTTCATTTTTATATTTAAGAACTTTAATGTTTATGATTACGTTTTAAAAATAGATTTATAGTATCACATTAGTATATTACCATATAACAGAACGAGTTTAACGACGATATAATGTGTTTTAATTACAGCAATGCATTATTTTTTTTTTAACACGATGAGAATGACTTTGATTATAATACATTTTATGAAACTTGTGTACTGTAAAACTGGGTCAAATGTCGTGGTTCAAATACCATACAACGGAGCAAATCTGATCAGTGTTTGTTTTTGTTCGGATGTAATATTTGTTACTCACCCTGAATAAACAAAAAATACTACAGATAAATAATGAGAAATATAAATACACCCCGATGTCCAAATCACCCGGTTTTATTATACTTTAATTGTAATTTAAATAGGAAAGCTTAAGCATCCCTTATGTTACGCATCTAAAACATTTGTTTCAAAAAGTTGTACTAAGAAATTCACCGTGTAATGATTATCACCAAACTTAATATCAATCTTCTTTGATTTCTCGGATCATTCGTATGCATGACGAACCATCCATAATTTAATCCTTTTCTAAGGGAAGATATCTCAAAATAGATTTTCTATAGATACCAACCACTTAATACTATGCAAAGCGATAGGAGTAAATCTAATCTCAAATTCCCAGAGAGGAATTAATTCTGACTTGATAAAGGATTGACATTTCCTACAGTGGCTTCATCCTTCTTCGAGTGAAAATATTTAAAACGTGCTCACAAATCAATCATTCAACTTACCCGTTTTAACAAGTTTGAAGGTAACACTGTTGTGGGATTTGAGTGCCTCGTTTAGGCCAGGATGACCTAAATCCTTAAGAACCCCTCCGGAGGAAGACATGCTTCCCCCAAGAGGCAGCTGCGACACCGGATCGATGCTCGGTGTCGTCCCTCCTCGTTTGCTACTAAATATACTACGATGGGACTTTGATGACTCTGGAAGTACAAAGTGAAAAAAGAGAGCAGAAGAGACGATTGCGATTAAATACACGCTGTTTATTTACTCATTGATTTTATTAACGTCTGTTTACACGCAGCTGAAAAGATGTTAATGATGCCATAAAAAGAGAAGTTAGTGCTTAAAAGCGATGCTGCTGAAAACTGGGAAGCAACCAGGCAATAACACGAGACTGGAGGATAGGATGGGAGGTTAATGTTGGGGACACTCCTGTTTCCGTGCTTATTTGTGGATGCCTTGATATGGCGCACTTCACGGCACCAAGCCACGAATCTGTGGAAATCAGCCAGATCTCGCAAAATTACCTAAATATGTTTACCGCATGATGATATCTAATCATGAAAAGTTATTGTGGTGGTAAAAGTTGTAATGATCTATTGAGACTGGAAAATGGTAACACCGAACCCCATAATGTAATATACTTGGAGTTTTTTTTTAATTGAAACGGTTGCGCTTGGGTTTCTGCCAATCATGAATGTGTTTGGGCAAAATAAAATATTACAAATAAAATGCATGTCAAAATGTTATGTATTTATATTTGGATTCCTATCCTGTGATCCAACAAAAACTATGAACTACACGTGAGTTTTGTCAGAAACCACAAAGGAAAATTGATTTTCATCAGAACCACAACCGGGGAATATGATATGTTCCTGTGGTTTTGACTGTTTCATTAATATAATCCATGGGGAAAAACCAATTTCGCTGCACAGCTTCCAGTGATCAGCCCACGGTTAGATGTAAATTAAGCAGAACACATGTCAAACAAACAGAGGGAAATCGAAAAGTTGAAAGCCAGTAAGCCGACAAATGAATCGGAATCATGGGGTATGCGTCGTGTTCTGGATTATTCTAACCAAGCTACTCCACCTCAATGTAGTCCATGCTGATATGCTCTATGAGGCAAAGCAAAGCTTGCAACATGGGGGTGCTCCACGTAGAAAGTCTCCAGCTAAGTATTAGAAATATTATTTCTAATGTGCTCCGCGTCCTGAAAGACTCCGGCTGGAAATTTTAATATCCCAAAAGGGTGATTCATTTTGAAAAAGAGAATTTGTAATCATTAAGCCCACTCTCTAGCTTCAATTATAACCCTAAAATATAAGTCTATGCTAAAAATTGCAAAGATTGATGAACGTTTAGAGGTCGTGCATATTGTTTGAAGTTTGTATAGGGATTATGGCGAATTAACATGGTAGATTTTTTTAAATTTCACTTCTGACGCTTAATGATATAATGTCAAAATTTTATTTTGACATAACTAAAATAAACAATCCTGCCGTTGTGGTTATGAAATTGGTGTTGTTGTCAGGCAAATGTTCAACTATCAATTTACTATATATTTTTAATTTTTCACATTTTTATCTTTCTTGAATTGCTGTTAAGCTGACCGTTAAAACTGCCTTGTATTGTCATAGTAATCACATTTTAAATATTTACAGCGTTTTGACAACGAGAACCAATGCCACCAGAACCAGCCACCTCCAGCATGGTCTTGCTTTGTAGCTGCGCCTTATACCGACTGAGCTAAAGGAGGCCAGTCTATTGTGATGAACGACCATTGCACACAAAGCTCAGATATTATAAGACGATTGCGCACATTATAAGTGCGATGAAAAGGGCCTACGGTAATAAAAATGCGTTTTAATGGGGTTTTCGTCGAACTTTTTCCTTGGGTCATAAAAAGTGCGACACCAAAATGATACATCATAAAAACGCACTTGTATCAGCAATTCCACGGTTTGGAGTGTTGAAAGTCTAGCAACAATATTTGGTGAGACTAGCTGCCTATTCAGCCGAAAAGAGATATTTAACTTTAAATTTGCATGTCTAATAAATCCCTTGCAACTTGTGTTCAGATATATAGCATACACGTATTCTGTAATACATGGTTTATAAATAGTTATTTCACTTGGTACAGGTCTAACTGATTTTACGCTACATCAACTGTAAAAAAAAAACCCAGCCGGGTATCATCAATATTGTTGTGATTATTGGCGATAGATTGTGAAAGAAATTTATTTTAAATCTACTAGATGAGGTACCAGCCAATGGCTGAAAGTCTCTATAAAAAAGAAACCAAACCAATCTTAAATCTACTTATCTCTTGCTTTAGAGTTTTTCTTAATTTGTGCAACTTTTGTTTGACAATCTTTAGATTTTTTTAGGTATATTTTAAATAATAAACTTAATAGGGCTTCTGATCTTTTATATGATTTGCTATGAGGATTCTATCATTTCGGATACACAACTTATAGATGGAATATTGCTTGCGGCTAAAAATCTCGATAATAAAGACAAAAAAAATGCATATTTACGAAAGAAATTGTTCAGTTCCAGGATTTATTCCGGTTTTACAGATATTGAATATTACGTTACCAAAAAACTGGTTTTAAAAAACACCCGGTAAATATTAACCATCATATTGTTCCTCGCACGGACTTCAAATGACCCGAGACTTGAATGCAACTCGTTTGAAAAGATCAAAATTCATTCAAAGAAGAATATGGTAACCAAAAACCAAAAAGTTTCTGAGTTCAGCACAGACCTAGACAATATAAAAAATGTAACCGTACATTACACAATAGGGTATAATTGAAATAGCTGAAATGGTATAATATACATTTGTTGAAGTGGGATCTGTAGGTAAATGGGAACATTGTATTGTGTGACAAAAATCATACAAATAGTATCTAATTTCATCTAGAACGTGAATGCAAAAAAAAAACTTCTTGCAAAAGCCCGTTTTTAATAATAACTTTAAAATTATCATTTAAAATCTTGGTATAAAAATATTATGTAGAAATAAGACAACAAGGCAAATTTTGCTGAAATTTTTCTTTGGCAATCAGAATAAATCATGTCAACTTTTTTCGATGGAAAACTTCGATCTTTTAAGGTTATTAAATAGAATAATTACAAGTCTCATTACAATTCGTAGCCGAGTAAGTGGGATCACGATAGAAACGGAGCTTTGAAGAAGCATTTGAACTAAATATATATTATATGCGCTACAGAATGGACGCATCTAGACAAGCTTAAAGCACTTTGAATGTTATGAACTAATTCAAAAGTGCCATTTAATTTATTTTAGTTATACTGACGGATTAACCTGACATCAAAATTATAAAAAAATCTAAATGAATACTAGGGTTAATGTCCCCAATGTTGAACAAAGTATCCCTATACATACAATTCAAAGGAAATCGTTTTTGTCACTATTTCACAAATATTTACTTGTTTTGTCCAGATGACGCATAGTTCCAAGAAAAATTAAGAACAGGAGATTTTCATCAATGGGGATTCATTGTATAGGGATGATTATGTGCAAAATCTATTTGAACGCTAATGTTTATTAAATTACCATCAGGAATGCTACAAACGGCAATATTTATGTTTACTATGCTTGAATGTAATTGACATCAAGACGCTTTCTAAAGAAGTTATGCGGTTTTATGTGACAGAATTTCAATGTAAGAATTTTATTTTCTTGACCCTGATGGATGGATTAATTTTTATCTCCTGTAATTTAACAGAGTTTGTCCACCTTCTTTAATGAATAACTTGATTTTAGAGTAATGAAATTGAAAACCCAAGTCATGGTGATCCCACTTATCCCAATTTTTCCCAATGCAAGCCAATATGTTATAATTCTGCCTGGTTTCAGTATTTTTAACTGCCTTCTGTTTTGGGACATACAAACGAATTTAATTATTTTACATGATTTAAATTTGATAAACACAATTTGTATGCAGCAAGCTTGAAATAAAACTGTAGATTTTTTCGAACCCACTTTCCCCAGTAAGTATTTTAGTTTTCGTTAGAGGCTTACCAAGAGGTATCAAAACATCAGCAATGCTTGTCACATTTTACAATGCAATATGAAAGGCAAACACATAGAGATGCCTTAAATTATAATTACCAGCGCCTTACCACATAGTTTTGCTGATTTTAATTTTTTGTCGATGGTGACCCAGTTTAAGAGATTTGCGACCCAGTTTGAGAAATTTAAACCATCCTTCAAAAATGTACCCCTCTAACCTCGGGAAAGCCACGAATATTTGGCCCAACTCCTGCTAGACAAATAACTAGGCAAATTTTGTTACAAACAATTAACAATTAATTATCGGCTGCGTAAAGCTTACGCGATGGAACTTTCCGAATAAACGAACTTGTTAAAAAAAAAAAATTCAATAAATTCATGACCCACAAATATTTCAAATAGATAACGCAAAAAATACCCGGAAAAGCCAATAAGACAAACCAGACCAGAAACGGGGAAAAACAGAATTACCAGAGAGTAGTCTTAAGTAATCCATTAAAATTCAAATAAATTAGTAAGACAAAATAACCTTGAATTCACCAGAATAGCATAATAATGCCAACCAGTGTTACACGAGATGTAATCCATATTGGAGGCAAATCATGGAACGTAAACAAACATTTCATGTAAAATTAAGTGTTCTCAAACCAAAACATAAGCAACTCGACGAAGAGAACGATTGATTGAATTGATTTTCTCGTTTCTTCAAACTGATTATTGTGTCAAAAGGGCCACTTGCGGTTTCAGGGAACTGAAATTTGCATGACTCTTTCGTAGTGTGTACTACTACTGCTTATCATCGGGAGTCTTAGTTATGTAGCCGGGCACCAAAAATTTAAAATTTTAAGCCCAATGCCCAACGCATTGTTTTGGCTGCCTTTTTCAGGGGATACTAAATAAGGTTGTCAAAAATAGCCAAGCAGCTAAAAACTAACGTTTGAATTCTCCAGCTCCAAGTCAGAAAACCCTTAACATTTATTTTTCATTATAAGATAGTTTTTCAGCTATTCGCTTAGTAATCAAAACGTCAAAATTACCATAACAACGTCAAATTGGCTTACAAAACCATCAAAATGGCAAAACATGCAAGGATAAATTTGTATGGCCACAACAATAAACAAATGCAGTAAAAGCAGCATAATGTCAGTTCATGCACTGTATTAATGATAATTTTGTCCTTTTTGGCAAATAATATTACACCATATTTTCGAAACGATTGACGTGCATCCACTTTGATGTGATATCAAAATTAAGTTTTTGCTGTGTATGAGTGTGCTTTCAGGATAGCGATGGCTGCATAAATGCAACCATCAAGTGATTTTTTTTCGGATACAAAATATGAGGATAACGATTCCCTCAACTCTCAACGCTAACTTAAACCCCAATTTGGGTAACTACCAAAACTGACAGGTAAATTAAAATGCCTTGATAATCTATTGTGAAACTTTTTTGAAAGAAGACTACTATAGATTTAAAGCAGGAAATTTGAAATTGTTAGCAGCGCGGACTGTTATTGACGTATTGTTAGTCACGGATCACATTCCACCAAATAAAAACTCACTCTAGGATTAGGTAAAAAGAATGACAACCAATAAAGTTGTTCAGGGGCACCTGTCACCTTTCTGGGACTCTTCAAGTTCTAGCTCAGCACTCTTGGCACGGTTAACGATCGGTGATTTGGCTTTTCGAAAGAACCCAACGGAAATTGAACGCTGCTGGATGGTAGGATATTCACTGGTATTCCATGAAGTGAGTTCAGTAGAATCAGAAGGGAGTGGCTTTTCTTTCTTCTCTAGAGAATATACCGTTTCGCCAGACTCGAAGAAGGCATCGAAGTTACGCTGACGAAGGTTTTCACGGGTAAACACTGGATTTGAGACGTGTATATGCAAATCTTCTCGAATTCGAGCAGACTCACTTGGCTCAACGGAGGAATGTGGTCGCAATCGTCCTAGCTTTAGATGAAGCTTGGACTTGGGCTTTTCTTTCCCTTTCGCAACTGAGGTAGTGTTTGATCTGGGGACCGCTGGTAAAGTTGTGGACGAGGAGTTGAAGGGGATACTGGCACTAAGACCCCTGCTCACATAGTTTACGGTCGTATCGGTATCGTATAATGGCGTGGTATCGTCGTAATCGTAAATCCTATCGTCCGGTGAAAAATTGACACTAGGCTCTGGGCTTCTGTCTCTGGGTGCAAGTGTCGGTGGGGTACGAGGTGCGGAGGAGGACGTGCGGGGTTGTCCTTGGACCCGACGGGGTTCATTTATCTGTTTGGGGGACAGGATGGTGGCGGAAGAAGGCCTATTGCCGATGGGGACAAGTGGCTCTCGCAGGTTGTCCAGAGTTGGTCGTGGTTGTACTCTCGGTACCGCGATTCCGTATGTTAACAAGATTAATTCATCAGCCGGAAATATTACGTACATTCCTGGCCCCCACGGAGCATGGCGAATTGATCCCGCTTACACTGGGATGCCAAACATTTACTTTGCCTTCTTTTCCTGACAGTTATGAAAAAAAAAATTCTATGACCCACCCCACTACAAGTCTGCCTAATAGATATTGTTTAGCATAAAGAGATTGAACACGAATCGAACTCAAACATAATAACCTTAAAATTCACATTGCACTCCCGGACATTGATGCACGGTCGTTGAACAGAAGCACGAACAAATTCAATCTGAAAAGAGAGAAAGAAAGCAAAAAAAATAATCAATCAATCATTCCCTCAAAATAACTGCTACACCAAAAATAGAAAAATTGGCCCATTAAATATAAAAGTAATCCTGTTAACTATGATTTACATAGCTTTATCAATTACCCGAATAGCTTATCATGTGTGTACAATATACATTCATCTGAAATTTCACAATATCAACAAATTGTTGATTTCTTCCCCCGTACCACTAAATCGATGCCGTATCTATCGCACAAGGTACCTCAACATACAACGCGACGCAAACATTTGTTTTCGCTTATTCTCCGTTTCCTAGCAGTGTATATAACAGTGGTTCACAAAGTGCTGGCTACGGTCTTCCAGCTGCAGAGGAATCTCAGATAGCCTAGTCGGTAAATGCACGGTATTACCAAGTCGGAGTTGGTGCCTAGCCTGGTCGTGAAAATCTTGCGGGCTTGAAGTTTTAAGGGTTTTGCTGGGCATAGAGTATCATTCTGCATGCCACACAATATATAAATTCATACATCGGTTGGCATAGAAAGCTCTCAATCAATAGCTGTGGAAGTGCATCCAGAATACTAAGTTGAGAGCCAGTAGAACGTTCGCTATAGAAGCGATAACAACCTAGAAGAAGAAGAAGATCGGAAAATTGTGGGAACTAGGTACAATATTTGTGCGCAAGTTCAAAAACTCAAGAACTAACCCAAGAATGTCTCAACAGGGCTGAAATTGATCAGTTATATTAAATGTAATATCATATTAATCATATAATTCACAAAAGGATGTTTAAAGCTTTAGTCATGATTTTGGGTAGCCACAAAAAAGAATATAAAGAAAAAAATAAAATAAAAAGAGAAAAAGTAATGCACTGAAATGGAGACCATAAATCCGGGCTCTTTATAAAGTTGATTATCAATGGCTATCATGCTTAAAATAGCTTATACATTTTAACATGAGTTTATGACGTTCAGAATCATCACACATCATGTTTATTATATTTTAAAATATACGTAATAATTAATTAAAAATTTAATGTCCTGATATATGGAGTATTTCGGTATTACTAAGATATTTAGACCCCCAAGATGCAGACATACTGAACACGACTTGTAGACGAATTACATTTTGTTTTTGTTCTTAGGGAACATGCATAAACCAACAAGTTATTGTAGATTAGAAGGTTTTCTCCCAATTACATTAGATGAACTTTAAAATATTTGCTTTTCATAACGAAACACGACTGGAGTAGATAATGTTAACGCTAGAGTTATGCAAGATTACTTTCATGGTATTGATCAAATTTTGCTGGATCGAGTCACTTTAAACAACACAAAAATCTTGCTGTACTATATTAATGAATAATGCAAACGTGGCACGTACCACTGGTGTGGAAGGAATCCTTAGTTGTTCCTATTCAAAAAGTTGCTGGAACGATTAATGCCGTTTTGTCTCAAAAACATTTCGTCTCATAAATATTAGAAAAAAAAAATTAGAACTTGTTGTGAAAGGCCAGCCGATGGAGTATTTAAATAGTTATTGTTTTTTGATACCAGAACAATCGTGATATTCGGAAAGGTCTCTCTTGTAAAACTGCGATTAATTTAGTATTAGTGAAGTGGAAAAATAACTTGGAGCGTAAAAATACGATTGATGCGGTTTTTTTGATCTGAAACGCGCTTTTGAAACAATTTCTAGGCCCTTATTGTTACGATCAATCAAGCGCTTTGGAATTACGAGTACTGCATATACATTTTTAAAGTTAAGTTTTCTTTATTAGGGAGGCTTTCAGCCTGAGGTTGGTTCGCCTCCGATTATATAGATGGATTGAAAGCTATTTGTCTGACAGAACTCAGCGGACTGTTAATGATTCTGTCCTGTGGGGAATAACCTTGGAGTGCCCCAGGGAAGTGTATTATTTATTACGTATATTAATGACATATGACGTGTTTTACGGTTTCGCGATATTCATTTTTTTGCAGATGATAATGTGTTATTCATTGCAGCTAAGTATTTAGATGATGCCGTTTTACACTTGAATGAAGATTTGCGTCCTCTAATTAGATGGTTGCAGTAAAAGTAGTTGAAATTGAATACAAGTAACACTAAGTTTATGGTAATCGCAGAATTGAGTTCATGAGCACGTCTCTGTTGTTATTGATGATGAGACTTTTGATAGCGTTCGGGATACTAAATATCTCTATGTAGTATTATTGATGACAAACTTAAGTTCAACTCTTATTTTGACAATTTTATCAAGAAAATTTCCAAGAAGTAAATATGGAATTGTATGTCGCTTGAAAAACGATTTCACTATTGCTAGTAAAATACAGCTTTAGAAATCAATCACCTCTCCTCATCTAGACTTTTCCCCTTTCATTTTGTTTTTGGCCGTTTTACACAATATCGAAATTACAGCGCTTGCAGAATGAAATAATGTGTTTGATTTTGAAATGTAATAGATTCACTTCCTCAACTTTGATGTTAGACGCTTTAAAATGGTTGTCGGGGAATAGAGAAATTGTATATTATTTGACTAAAGTGTTCATTTTTCGAGTAGTTAACGGTTTGGTGCTTCGATATTTGTGCGATCGAATTGAAAGAGGTAGTGACATTCATATATATAATACTATGAACTCGGATCTACAAGCACCACATTTCTTGACCTGTGCTTCACAAAATTTATAATATTTTAAAAGAATAAATGTTTTCAATTCTATGCCTAGACATATCAATCGTTGCGTAGCACTTACATAATTTAAGAGACACTGCATTTCATACGTTGAAACTGCATTTTAACCAGTTATACAGTCCTTGACGAAGTTTCTAACGGAGTTTTGAATGGATAGCTGTCATAACGTTTTTTTCATAATTTATGTAGTACTACAAAACCTATTTTGTTTGCCACATCGATGATGATGGATTTTTTATATTTGATTTAATAGTAGTAGTTAATACAAAAAAATGTGACTAGTCTACAACGGACTGAATTTAACATTTTATAAATGACTTTGAACCTTAATTGTATGCTTCACTGTAGAGTAGGGAATCAGCTGATAATGAATGATCACGAACGCACGAGTGTGTATGTAGCCGAGAGTGATAAGCTATCAATGATACGCTCTCGCAGCATCACCAATAGGTAGAAATACAAGATTCAATCAATTAGCTCCCGACCGCCGACGGTATCGGTTCGTTAGATCGAGTACATTTAAATACAGTCCATTTCCATCGAGCAATAAACGTGTAGTACACAGACCCCTCGGTTATGGATCATTCAGTCTACCGTGTTATTCAAATGGAAATGATCCATAATTGTGGAGTCGGTCTAATTCCAGTGCAATAAAGTTGGTTTCGTTTGATCATATCAGCACTGATTTTCGACTGTTACCTCCATACGAAGGGACTCACGGGTGGACAAGTTGGTGCAAACGGGTATTTACACCTAGAATTAGCTAAATTGCTGAAAATTATAATAGCATCTGTTTGCGAATTTGCTAGTGTATTAGAGTGATTTGTTTTTTTCTCTTGATTTGTTTTCCGTCGATCTTGTTTTCCGTGCTGAGCACCAATGCTACCGACGCCAGGGAGGCAGCTCCCACACCTGGACCCTACCTACCGACCCATCAACTCATGAACCGGGGACCAAAGGCTTTACTTCCCTTCCGAAGGAAGGCGTGATCAGAGATGTTATGCCTCAGAACATCCTGGCGGCGCCGACTGGGATTGAACCCATGCCTGCTGGGGTGAGAGGTAATCACACTTATCATTACACCACCGGCGAAGCTTAGAATGCTTTGTTGATTATTCATGAATCAGTAATGGCACAATCCGCACTCTTTTGATATTGCGAAACTATTCACAACTTTACTTGAAAAAGTGTAGCTACGAGTTGACTCAACACAAAAATGGTTTCGTTGCCACATCGTTTTCTTAAAAACAGCATAGTTTGCTATCTCTCCTTACTCTGCATAGAGGGCAGACACGATGTTACTACTGCTAGCAGTGATAGAAAATTCGGTTCGTGTTCGGGTGTACAGCATAAATCTTAAAGCTTGGTGAGATTTTTTATCTAGTTCTTTTACTTTGACTATATGTTTTAGTATTACTTCTACGTGAAGTCAACGATTTACATAGTTGAAGATGCTAATTTCAAATAACAGACTGTAGTGGTAATTTTTATACGATAGATGGAGTAGATGAAAGCATAGAGTTGATAGTTCCGTAAGAGTACGGCAGTGTGAAGATTGCATATAGATATTAGAATAGCGAGCTATGACAACTTTTAAGGAAGGTACAAATCGGTTTTTTCATCTCTCTTTACCAAACTCCCCCTTTGGAGAGGGATGGTGAGGGGTGTCCCCCCCCCCCCGCCACCACTGGCAAAAGAGATGAAAACCGACCCGCTCAAGTACCAACTGTGTGTTTGAAACAGTTCTACCGATTTTTTACCGCACTTCAGTTGTTATTTGAAGGAAGGCATCCAGTCGTAGGTTTGGAAATTGCAACTATTGTTTACCCCTACCACGATATGTGCTCCTGTCTATGTCTAGTAGGAGTTGGGCCGACTACTCGCGGCTTACCCGAGGTTAGAGGGGTACATTGTCGAAAGATAGGAAAAGGGGAGGAACTTGGGGGTAGGGTTTCGTTGTCTCATCAGATCGATGTTTTGGTGAGAATTGTAGCTGGTTAGTTGTGTTACCTTGATATTCGTAGCTACGATATCATAGCTTATACTATCATCCGCTGTTGTTTGCTTGTTGATTTTTGTTTACAATAATCAAATGAGATTATGCTCATAGGGTAAATGTTGGCTTCGGCACCCATTGACTGTTTTCGGCAACCAAAATTTAAACGTTAATTTCACTATGTTTTCCCATCAACGCACTTCCCTGAATGTGTCCAAACGATTGTTTAGCCTTTCAGCTTCAATCTGATTATATTTGAACGATCGAGCAATCCAGTAATGCTACATTTTTCTTCAAATAAAGCATACGCAATACAAA